ATACTATATATGCATACATACATATACACACACAGGACTATTTAGGTATGTATGTACATATATGATATATATGTGGCTGTGTTAGTCTCGTTTTCATGCCTGTGGTAAAGGTGAAGCTAGTTTATCATTACACCACTAATACTGCTTATTACAGATTATGGTACAAAGAAAATAACCAGTGTGTGGCACCAAATGATCACTTGTTCAATTTGCTCTCTGCTCTGTTGCCATCTCTTGCTCTAACTCACAGCAGCACACACCCCCCACCTTTGGCTTCTACGAAGTTAGGGTCAAGGTCATTGGGCAGCTTTCCGCCCTCGCCCCAGATGTTCAGCTCTCCAAACACACCTGTCTCAATCATCTCCTCCTGCCAGGGGATCGGGACGTTACCGGAAGCAAAGTCATTGTAGAACTCTGTGTCCTTGTTATCTAGGACCAGGCCTTTGATTGTGCTGAAGGCGCCCACATCGTCAATGTCTTTGGCATAGACCATCTTAGGATCGGGGACAAAGGGTGGAGGTAGCATGCCTTTGGATGAAACAAACAGGACATAGTCAAGTTTGAGTCTGTTTTATAGCCAATGCCTGGTATTTTTGCATTTTCTATTTAGCATTTGACAGATGAAATCATACGACGCGTACTGCAATTAAAAACCTACGTTGCTCATGACTCTTGGTTTTGTCAACATCACCCACCTGCATCCAGACGGCCCCAGTTAATCTCTTTAAAGAAGGGCTGATTCTTGAGCTCCGAGCAATCATTATTTTTGATCCCCAGACGTTTCACAGGGTCCTTGTCCATCAGACCTTCACACAGGGCCTTGCACTCTTTGCTGAAGTTTGGTGTGTATGAAACTGGATCGTTCAAGATTCTGCGAGTTACCTCTTCATTCTCAACCTGAAAAAAACACATACATTTTATATAAATATATATTACCACAGATTTGGCAATGTACAGCAAGAAAGAGCAAAAAGGTTTTGCCCATATATTGACTCAGTACCTTCTCTCCACGAACTCTAAAGGGCCCTTTGGCAGCAATCATCTCATAAAGGGTGACTCCCAGAGTAAAATAGTCCACTGTGTAGTCATACTCCTTCTTCTGGAGCAGCTCTGGGGCCATGAAACCTATATTCATCAATAATAGGATTTTACACATAATGGACAGTTTAGAAAAACATGGTCCGCATGTTTTGTTTTTTCACAGTAACATTGGCCTGGATCATCACATTTCCGCTGTACTAAGGTAGATATGTTTAATTACTTTAAATATTGTATTGTTCACTTACCTGGAGTTCCAGCATATCCAGCAGTTTTGTCTTTTCCTGGTGGAAGCTCAACAGCCAGACCCAAATCTGACAGGCGGACATGTCCTATTTGTGACAAGGCTTTCATTACAACAGTGTAATGGGCCATTGACTGTTTGATTTGTGATTGTTATGTTACTGAAATGTTTCCCTCAATTTCTCCTGAATTATGTTGGTGGAATGTGAGTGCAGAATAGGTTTCCATGGCAACCTAGAGATGAGCCACCATCATGATTCAAGCCAAAGTTAGCTGCTTAAAATTACATATTTTTTACCTAAAAAAAATCACCTTCAAAATGGGTTTGATGGTTCACAGAGGTGGAACAGTGAGAAGGGAACTGCTTTCATTCCCCTGGAACTGACTGATAGTCACAGCTTTAATTACCAGAATCCTACCTGAACTGTAGATCAGTCAAGTTATTAAAAAAACAGCATTTATCTTTATTTCTTTATATCCTTTTTTTTGTCAGAGCAGCAGCTATTCTGTTTCATGAAGCTGGGGATCATGGGCAATATCCACCATTCATTAGTTTTTTCAGTTCAGGGAGTGGGACGACACAGTCAGAGCTCCTGTCAACAGATTGATACTTTATTTTTATACTTATTCCATGGAGGCCAACAGAATTAAATCACCACGTGTGGCTGCAGAGGGCGCTGTTGCTCAGTAAAAGCAACAGTGTTCCTTTAATGCAATAATGCATTTTGAAAGATTTTCAACTGTTGAAGTGTTAAATGACATGAAAGCCACAGTCATACAGTTGAGGACCATATGGGACAGGAACAGTGACTCTGGGCTGTAATGTCAGTGTGTCCACGCAGATACATGAGAAGCTGCAGAGGAAATGTCTCACCTGCATCATCCAGTAGTACGTTCTCTGGTTTGAGGTCTCTGTAGATGATCCTGTGCTGGTGAAGGTGCTCCAGCCCACAGATGATCTGAGCTGTGTAGAAACGTGCTCGTTTCTCATCAAAACCAGGATTCTTTTCATCCACATTATACATATGAAACCTGTCAGAGGAGGGAGGGCGCAATTTAACTTTCTGAAACCTCTGTGAAATCAAGACAAGCAGAGGAGAGATAGGAAGCTATGCTAACTTATTCAATGATACACACGAGAGCCTATATGTGAGCTGAGAGGTTTATCTACCCACATGCTAATCTTTTGAGATAAGAGGGAACACTATTCCTTTGTTGTTCATCTACAGAACACAGTATATAAAAGTCAGTCTGTCTGGATTTTACTGAATATGTGTGTAAAGCTGCGGAGCACCTGAGATCTCCACCGTTCATGATGGTCATAACTAGGCAGAGGTCTGTCTTGGTCTGGAAAGCGTAAGCCAATGTCACAATGAAGCGACTGTGAACTTTAGCAAGGATGCGCTTCTCCACGATTGCTCCCTGAATAGAAAGAATCACCAGAACATGATTAGTCCAACAAAACCCAGGAATGTACAATGTCAAAAATAAAAGCGTGTGTGTGATAGATCTATGGCCCTGATCTAACCTTTTGTTTCCTATATTAGACCTTTGATATTTGAAAGCTGAAAAAGCAAAGCAGCAACCCATTTTTTATTCATAAGGTTTTGCTTTAATTTAAATGTGTAAGGTTCTATTATGACTTACTCGAGGAGCAGCAAACTATGTGTGCTACAACTATGTCTGCTCTCACTGGGTCATCATGAGGTTGCCAGTGCTATGAACTTTGTGTTGTAACTATTTAGTTTGACACTATGAAAATCTGTGAGTAGGACATTGGATGTCACCTTACCTCGTAGCCTTTGCGTTTCTTGAGCCTCTTTTTCTCCAGTTTCTTGTTGGCATACATTTTGCCTGTTGCCTTGGCCTGGCAAGCAAACACTTCCCCAAAACCTCCTTTGCCCAGGACCCTGAAGTCCATGAACCACTCCTCATCCACGGGCTGGCTCTCCAACCATTTGAACTGAACATAACGCAGGAAGTACATGCTGTTCTTGAAGCCGTCCACAGCGTTCTTCTCCAGGTGTTTGAGCAGCTGCTTCTCGCTCTCTTTGAACAGGTCACCGTGGACATTCTTGTAATCTTCTTTGACCCGAGTGACGGCCTTCTCCTCCAAGAAGTTGCAGAAATTCTTTGAAGCTGACTCGTAGTACTTGTTGACTATTTTTTGGGCCTTCTGCACTCTGTCCTTCTCCGTGCATATTGTGTAGTCTTCAAAGTCCTTCCACAGCTCCCCAGTGTTTTTATGGGTTGCATCACTTTCAAGATACATTTGGAACAGGCGCTTGCCGATGGGCTGCTGGATGCACATGCTGTCAAATGCCATGTCTACAGTCGTCTTCATGTGTTCACAATCTCTGATGTGCGGCAGTTTCAACCTGGCACGCATCTTCTTGTCACGCATGGAGGCTGCTGCAGCTCCGTCCACGCTGCCTCGGGCGGACACATAGGCCGAGTTCGCCACCACCGTCTCCAAACCGCCGATGTCCATGGTTCCACCCTTTTCTGTGGTGCACACAAAACAGACAAAAGTCAATAAGAAATATTTAGAGAGGCCACAAATCAGCAAATCCATATAGGAACTCCCATTACATAAACTTCATAGTCTATTAGTTTGCAGTCTTAGTAATTCTTACTGGACTTAGAAGCCTATTTAGTGATCATGACCGAGATTGTACAAATTGTTGTTTTCTTTACCCTAGAATGGGTCCTTTATATTTAAATACATTATATTTACATCAGGAGCAGGTCCTCTCTATGGAGATCACAGTGTTTTTTTCTTTTACAGTCGTTCAAACTGGACAAACTAAACACCTTTTTATGAGTTTTTATAACTAAAGGCTACCACAGGTTCTCTTTAATGTTTGGAAGGAGAGGGTGAGGGTGAGGGCTATTCAGCTGCAACATGCAACTTCACCACTAGATGTCACTAAATTCTACACACTGAACTTTTAACATAAACATTTTTGGGCTACATTTTGATTATGGTAAAGCTGCTATCATGTTGCATCTTCAGTACTGCTACCCACACTTATATTTTAATATAATCATTTAACATAATAGTTCTATTTATACAAAATAGTATATAATTAGTTAAATATAACATTATAATGTCATCAATCATAAAGTGCATTCCACAGGTTATTTTAAGTACAATGTACTCATAAGTATCATATTGTGCCTCGTGTACAGAGACTGTCTCTGGTTGAGCGAGTAGCAGTTCTAGAAAGAGAATGTTTAAGGTGAGAGAGAGAAAATAATGTTGTGATGTGCTGCACCCTGCTGTTCAAAAGACATAAGAAACAGAGGAAACCTATTTTTAAACTTTCTGATGTTATAGACAGGACATGTAATTAAGCTCGACTGCACTTGAATGCCCACACACTCATTATTAGTAAAGGGATTTGAGGAGCTGCAAGCCCAGGAAGGAGGGAGAGCATTAACTAACACTGTGCAGCACAAGGTCTTTTCAGTTCCTCAGACTGGTTCACTTCTTCAGATTACCTATTTGACGATGGCAAACAACAACAAATTCACTTCTACCTCAATTACTGAAAACTTTTTGAAAGAAACGTGTGCCTGTTAAGCCTGAGGGACTGAACCCAATTTATGGAAGCACAAGAATGCTGGTACTTTGCATTAAAATGGGACAGGATGTGCAAAGTGTGCCAAGCCTCTCTGGGTGTGTATTACATAAGCTGCTCTGTCTTTACCTGGTATATATAGTGAAGCTGAAAGTGATACTATTTGTCTCTGCTTTCCTGACTCTGCTTAATCCAATTAACACTGACTATCGACACTAGAAATTTACATTTAGATGATTAGCCTACATGTTTCTTCCTTTTAAATGTGTTTACCCCAATAAAGGTGAGGATCTTTCCACATCGAAATATAATAAAGTATGTTCTTCGACCAAACAGATTTTAGCGCAGGACAAGAAACGTTTATGTTATTGATCTCAAATGCAACATTGACCCAAAACTCGAGCAGCCTTTATATCATCCAGTGTGGAAAATGGGGAGAAATTAAGATTGCCAAAATTATCAGGATCTTATTTCTGATTTTGGATTCTGCACTTGATGATAAAAAGCAAGAACAGATTTTAAATGAGGGACTGTTTAATGTAGAATTTTTTTTAAACCATACAATAATGTCAGCAGGTTAATCAACACATTTTTCTCTAGTTTATATTCTACTTAAAAAAAGACTATTATTAATGAATACTACTTACCCTACTTTCTTGGTGTAGCAGGAATTCAATTAAGAACTTGACCGTAACGAATCAAATCACTTGCTGTCATCCAACATGTATTTTCAACCAGAACAAAGAGAAATCATCTCCGTCGTGTCAGGGTCCTGGAGGGATGTGTCGAAAAGGTCGGGGCATCTAGTTGAGGTTTACCCTGCCCCAGAAATCCTACTTGGTAGTTCATTAGCTGGTGAGGATTACACCCAGCAACTTGGCAGAAGCTATTAGTGTAACTCAGCAGCAGCAGTGATTACTGATGAGGAATCCTGCTCCAACTCAGTGAGCATCATTCTATTAAAATAATAAATACCCGGTGTCAATGATTGCACTTTTCATTTTAGAGTAGTACATTATTAATCATATTAATTAATACTTTATTGATATTTTCCCACTTTTCTATTAGGCTGGATACACAGTGATGTATAATGAGTATAGTTCTCACTTTGTTCTGGCACACAGTCAGTTGAGTGACAGTGTGGCTCAGAATCAGGCTGCACGTTGAAAGTAGATTATCTCCTGTTCTTGTCCAAGAGCCCAACACTGCAGCACATGGGTTAACATGATCTTTGAACTATGGTTGTATCCGTATGAGCTGCAATACATGATTAAATATTGTTTAAATTCACATTAGCTGTAGAAGCTGAATGCAAATCCACAACTGTGACATAGTTTTACTGCATTCACGAGCGAGGGAGAAAGAAATGTGTGTGGATACATTTGAGGTGAGAAGGATTTAGTGTGCAGTGGAGGAAAGGGAGAAGAGGGATTTAAATAAGGCAGCTAAAGAGGGTGGAAGGTGTCAAACAGCAGAGGAACTATAGGCAGCTCCTGTTTAACATGAAATAATTACTTTTTTAAGATCATAAACAGAAAGTGAGTTTAATCAATCAATAAATGTAATTTAATCAATGGAAACGCATTATCAGTATAAAAGGAAAAGAAGCCAGTGGAGGTGGTTGCATGCTGTCAAGTCGTCAGACCATCACATAGGAGTGTGATGGGAACTCATTTTAAGTGTTTCAGTTTACTATTATGCTCTTCATTTGGCTTCACTGTAAATCCTGCCTTCTTACGACAGTAAAAGACATGACTGTGTCTGAGTGTCACTGCATCTGTTTACTTTTTGTGTTCAACATTGACCACAAAGTTTGTTTGTAAAACCATCAATCTAAAATACAGTGAAGTGACTTCTGGTAACATTGAAACAAAACATGCAGTACTACACCAGGCAATCAATACATGACATCATTCTGATAATAGGCAAGAAATAACATTTCATTTTCTTAATGTAATTTAGTAATGTAATTAGAAATGATGTTGCAAAACTGTTTATATTATGATGATCATGCAAACTCTGCACTGATTTAGTAATTAACACTGAAACTTGTGCTAATATAACTTTGAGATGTCCTTATTCTGATTTTTTTAATTTTATATGTGAGTTCAGCATTTTGTGCCTAAATGTGAGAATTTAAATTCAAGTTACTTTGGCTCTTTGTCAAAATTCAGCCATTTGAAAGAACTGCAGATTGAACGGAGGTACTAAAGGCGGCTCCAGAAAAGAAACCATTCAACCATTCCATAAAATGTAGTCCTCTTAGGCTTGTTTAAACCCATTTCCTGTCCTGGGCCTCAGGCTGCTGTTCAAAAGACCCTGAGCATAAATCCCATTTCAGAAGGGTAGAGGTGAAGTAGATTTTATTTTGCATTCTAATCCAGCTCAGTGACGAAGAACAAACCAACCCACCCAGACAGGGAGATTAGTCTTTGGCTCAAAGACACTGATACTCACATACATCTAACCACTGCCCTCTCATCTACAGGTCAAAGGTGAGAGCACAGAAATAGAAACTACTCCACTAGGACCTGTGAACACCACTGTCAAAAAAAATCTTCATTTACATTCATTCTTCTTTCCTCATTCTCACTGCTACAAGTCAATCGTTCTCAAATGGCTCGACTAAATAATGACTAGTTGGTGGTTTACGATGGTTTTAAGGCAAGCGCATAATCTTTTCCTGTTTAATTAATTCAGTGTACAGCAAAAATCCCATTACATTTGCACACACACTAGATCTGCTGTGCTGCTGGTGATCCTCGCGCCACTGAGCTGTAACTGCTCTTCAGATGATTAAACTGAGATGTGTTTAAAAACAGCCCAAGACGTCACTGTTCTCCCTCCGACAATAATCTCTAATTGAGGGTGATGGTGCTGCCCTGCTGACCCAGTGTTTACCTAAACTCACCCGAGAAAACTGTAATATCACCACTAAGGAATGTGCGGGTTAAAAAAAAAATAGAGGGTTAAAATTAATCAAATATGGAGAAATTTAATTTTAAGTTCAGTTTGAAGAATTTTGAACAGGATAAGATAATGGAGATGTTGCTGCAACCTTAATGTTTGTAAATTAAACTAAATAAATGTTAAGTTGTTAATGACCTATGAGACATGACCCCATAAAATACCAATACACACAGTGTGTGCATGTGTGTGTGTGTGTGTGTGTGTAATGTGACAGCAGCTGCCTTCAGTAAGTGGAAAAAGAAGGAAACTGTCTCTTTGATTGGTCCCCTCCACAAACCAGCCAATCCCCTGGAGCTTCATTAACACATGTACAGATGAAGAGCTGTTTTCATTGGCTGAGAGTGTGAGCCCTTCTCCTATATGAGGCGTTCAGGGGACGGCTAACATGTAAGGAGACATTACACTACAAGGTAGTAACTCTATTAGTCTGAGAGATATCACATAACATTTGTATTTATGAAATAAATGACAAAAGTGATTAATTGACATTTGACATAAATAGCAGTGCTAGCTCATTTACGTTTTACATTTTGAGGATCAGATTTTTTTAATATATATTTTTAAATTTAAAATTGATCAGAAGCAGCAGGGAGGTGATATTGTGGGAAAGGAACTGATAGTGTTAGATTATGTATTGCTAATAATACAATTAGACAATCAGACACAGCCAAAGATAAATACACACGCACACACACACACACACACACACATATATATATATATATATATATATATACCTCTGAATTAAAAATGTTCATAAGAAGAAATAGCTCAATCCAAAGCTATCATTTAACTAGACACAATATTAGATAAATCACACACAAACATGTAATGACTAATTTATTCAAAATTGAAACTCACAAAGAAATTAAAATTTAAGTGTGTCAGATTTAGGTGAAAGGGATTTTAATGACAACTGAAGCGACCACAGGTTCTCCTTCATGTTTGAAGAGGAGGGTGAGGGGTGTTCAGCTGCAACATGCAACGTCACCACTAGGTGTCACTAAATTCTACACACTGACGAAGTCTAGTTGAATGATAATAAACGTAATAATACATTACCACTACACAGTAATAACTATATAGTAGCCAATGAATTAAGTTGATCTAAAAACGTATTGTATCACCCTGGTTACATGGGTGGTCTCTTTATTGCTTGTGTGTATTCGATATTTTTAGAATAGATCACATGTGACCCTACTACGTCATTGTCGGGATTAGGATTTTCCGAGCGGCTAGTGAAGTGGTCTCATGTCGGCCTGCTGCTGCTCCTCGCTGCTCGGTGTGTACATGATGTGGGAGGAGGAACGCAGGGAGCGGCTGCTATGATGAAGAACAGGTCGGACTGACTCAGTCAGGTTCGATCCCCACATCTGTCTTCCCGTCTCCTGACACCGACTGACGCCGGGATGGACTTCGTGCTGAGCGGGGCGGCGGCGTGCGGCGCTTGTCTGTTCACCAACCCGCTGGAGGTGGTGAAGACGCGGATGCAGCTGCAGGGCGAGCTCCAGAGCCGCGGCACCTACCAGGTCTACTACCGCAATGTGTTCCACGCCTTCTACACCATCGGGAAAGTGGACGGGCTGGCCGGGCTGCAGAAAGGTCTGATGCCCGGGCTCGTCTACCAGTTCTGTATGAATGGGGTCAGACTCGGCTCGTATGCCGTCATCGAGTCCTCCGGTTACATCCACACCAACGGGAGGGTCAGCGCGGTCAAGACCACGTTAGCAGGGGCCGCGGCTGGAGTGGTGGGAGCCGTGATGGGCAGTCCCGTGTACTTGGTCAGTAGCGGTCTCCTCCGCAGTCTAAGCAGGCCTCCCTGTGGGCTGTTACATGACATCTCAAGGTTGAACTGTCACTGTGGAGGAAAGTAAACTCGTGTCCTTTCACAGGTGAAGACTCATCTGCAGAGTCAGTCCACATCCTCCATTGCTGTGGGGCATCAATACAAACACCAGGTAACACAGTAACACAGACCGAGGGGTCAGGTGTCCTGGGCTTTTCCTCATGTGTTCTTCCTCTTCCTGCCAGGGGATGATCCACGCTCTGGCAGCCATCTACAGGGAGCACGGCCTTCTGGGACTGTGGAGAGGCTCCAGTGCTGCCATACCCAGGGTCAGCGTGGGGTCCTCCGCTCAGCTCTCCACCTTCTCCTCCTCCAAGGAGCTGGTCATTGACCTGCAGGTCAGCACACACTGCTCTCTGAGGCATCATCCACACAGAAAAATTCAGTGGTGATGATTGGGAACAGGGCAGGGGTGTTGTAGGATTATAGGATGACACCAAGGGTGCACGTCTTCCATATGACTATGCTATCCAAGAATAAACAGGACTGTTTTGTGGGGTCTGGCTTAAATGGTCATTGCCTCACTCATAATAGAGCTGCTGCAGGTATAGTTATATTCAAAGCCAAAATACCCAAGACAATAGCAGGTTGTAAAATGTTAAGATATGCTGCTTTTGATTTGATAGTTCACTGAATATCTTTGTATACAGCACTGTTAAGTTCGCAAACCTGTGATTTGCGTTTTCCACTATTTGGAAATCACTTTATTCATTGATCATGAATAAATTATTAATAACAGCCCCACGGTCAGAGATGCAGGCATGTGATAGATGAAGTGTTGTCAATGACCATGAACCGATTACAAAAGCAGTCATTGTGACAAAGCGTCAGGCGTTGAACTAGTCTGGAATAGAAATTCGACACCTTTCACTGGCCTCCCCTGACAGAAAACATGAGGCTTACGCAACGACTGCACCACTGGGAGCGAAGGGCTTCTGACCCAGCTCTATTTATAAAAAATAAAAAGGTGATTTGTCCTAAATGCCTGAATCAGTTTCAGGCTAAAATATTCCGAAAACAATCAAACCAACTGTGTGTATCATTAACTTGAAATACTTCATCTCTCAGACTTCCTTTGATCTACTTTGAGTGAGGCTGGAGGTGGGGGGGTCTGTCCACACATTCCAACATCTCCAGCTTTTAGTAAAAGACTGTCAACGAGGTACAACTTGTTCAGTGTTACGCTGGGTTGTTCATCTCCTTTTTTAAAAATAATATTCTAACAAAGCGCAAGCACAATTGACAGAAAAAATTGTGTGCGTCCTTATTTTGGTAATGTCTTTAGACCTCATGAGGACCCAATCCCAAGCCTAATGAGGCAAAACAAAATGTCTGAGGTCCTTATTCTTAAGATTTGAATGGTGGTTAGGTTAGGGTTGAATTGGTCAGGGCAGAATTAGCAATAGGGTTTTGGTTAAATGTACGTCTATGCAAAGTCCTAATAAAGACATCTACAAACCTGTGCATGTGTGCAACATAGGAACTAAAGTTAGAACCATTCCACTGTTTCTCTGAATGTGTGTGACATCACGAGCAGTTAAAATTAGAAGTAGCTGTACACATGGTGGTACCCTGATGATGAGGGTGCGGCGCCCTGTTGTTTCTTACTTGTGTCATACTGGGCAACCTTAGCATGCGTTCTCCTTTGTTGCCTCATGACATATTTTTGTTTTTGTCCCCAAGATTTTCCCAAAGGACAGCTGGTTGGTGGCCCTGAGCGCTGGTATGATCAGCAGTGTGGTGGTGGTGATGGCTATGACGCCGTTTGATGTGATCAGCACGCGGCTCTACAACCAGCCAGTGGACCCTGTGGGCAAGGTGAGGAGACCGACCAGAAGTTATAGACTAAATCCACAGAACTATGTCTTAGTTTTAGAACGCATTTAAGTTGCTACGTTTACTCCAGCAGTCCACAGTACTCTGAAGTTGTCCCGCGCCTAAACTGAGAAGTTTGGAGACATGATTGGTTCTTATTAGTCCGGACTCAACTACCGGTGGTGAAAGCTCAACTTCGTAAACAGTTACTTGCAGTAACAGCTCAACTTCATCACAAGTGGAACAAAAGCTGCCAGTTTACATGAAAGATCTCTTGATATACATTTTCAGGTGTCTCATCACGGACAAGGATTATTACTGATACAGAGTTAAAGCTTGAATGGACGAAGATTTCTTAAGCTTTGAAAAACAGTGGATGGAACATGGATGTTGCCATAATTCTTAAGATATACACACATTGCTGACATTTTTTTGCAACAGCTATTCGATGTAGTTAAGTACAGGTTTCAGGTGTGAAGAGACTATACCAACAGCAAAAGTAAAACGAGGGAAGGACCAAGAGCAGAAGAACAAAATCTGAGAGCAGATCTCTTATGTGGCACAAAAGCAGCTCATGCACGAGGAGAAGTGCTGAAGCTAGCACTCAGGAAATATGAGATCAAGCAGGGTTTTGAGTAAGTGCATTACAAAAACAAAATGTGAGATCAGGAAAAAGTCCTGCTCTCAAATAAAGAAAAAGAAAACATTGTGGGTAATGTGGGCACCAGAATTGGAGAAGGAAGACAAATACTGTTCTAGCTGATCAGAGCTAAGCTGACCCTCATGTTGTCATGTTTCAGGGGCTGCTTTATGAAGGATTCGCCGATTGCTTTTCCAAGACGCTAAGGAAGGAGGGCTTGACGGGACTCTACAAAGGCCTGGGAGCCTCTTACTTCAGGCTCGGCCCACACACTATTCTGTCCTTGTTCTTCTGGGACGAACTGCGCAAAATGTACCAGAAGGGCAGATAACACCAGGAGGATGAGGAGACTGGGGAAACCGGTAACTCATTAAGCTCTTAAGTGCAAAGGTTTAATGAGTTTTACTATTATGAGGTTAAAGAAAAACCAAGAGATGCTCTGCTTCGTTCATGGGAACGAGAACAGAGAGCAAAGGTAACGTTTTACACTCCATTAAGAAAACAAAAAGGTACAGTCAAATAGCTTCAGAGAGGAAGGACAAACTGCAGTGAATAGCAGTGAACAGTTCTGTCTGACGGATATGATATGATGATAACATGCACAGGAATCAACAGCCCTCATATACAGTTCACATGCCATTTAAATGGATATCTCACAGTGAGCAGTGAATGTGACCCACAGTGTGAGGACATGAATGGTCTGTGTCACAGCAGTGGCACAGTAAGAATCTAATATGACATGGCTGGTGCAAATTGTGCGGGTGGAGGCTGTATCATGCTTTTCTAAATTTGAAGTCAAATGAAACGGTAACGCACATGATCTATTGGGAGGAGGTGACACAGTATATTATAGCAACATCATTCAGAACTGTGCATGAGGGGTTTCCAATGAGCCACTTTGCCTTCAAAGTAAAAAGTGCTGTAGAGTTCCTGCTGATCATTGATCCTAAAGTTTAAAAAGATACCAAACACTTCAGGCTGAATTTGTAAGAAATGTGTATGATATGAAGTGTTGAGTTTGGATTCTTTACTCTGTGTCAATGTATGGTGGCGGATGAGGGCAAATATTTCGTGTTGCAAATTCAGAAACACATCGTTCAACTGAATCATGCTGGAAATAAAAAACTGTCCTGCGGAAAGTGAAAAATTATATTAACTGTAATCCAGCAGTCAATACAGAACCCAAAACACACAAACCTTGAAGACAAATGGAACATAAAACACACAACACTTCTTAAAACCAGTCAAGCCGCACCAAATAACACCCTCATAGATATCAGTTTCATCAGTATCTCAACATTATCTCTTGAGAAATTCACAAAAACAATTCCTGAATCAGGCGTACTCATCGAATCCTCTCTTAAGGTTAATGGGTTCTTCCTTCCTTTTTGCGTAATCCGCAAACAGTCAGACAAACAGCAATGAAAACATAACCTCTTTGATGGAGGTACAGATTCTGCATTTCCAGCCAACGATTTCTCAGACTAAATTAAACCTCTTATAGTAAACCCATGGAATGAAAAGTGTCATGAAACAGTGTCGCCAACTGACTTTCCACAACAGAAGAGGAGGCTAATGTTACTGCTGTTTATTTTGTATGATGAAGCCGGACCTTTAATCTAATATGAATATATTCATACAGACATTTTTATACCTTTAAAGCAACTCGACTTAACAGACTTAAATAATAATTAGTGGCAGTTGTCTTATTAAACAGCTCAAACTATTCTGACAATTCCTGTGGAACAAACTTGGTGCCACAACTTGTGCCATTTATTTAGTTCACATTAAAAATGGCTGATGAGGCCTTAACCTTTGATTTTTGATTTTATACAAGAGTGAAAAGCATTAAATGTTCTTCCTGATTAACACGGAAATCTGTCCACTAACTCTTAGCAACACTGGTTACAATAGAGACCTTTCTGTTCAGGTAATTTGTGCTGTGAATTAAATGAAAACCTGTGAACAGTGGTCAGCAAAATCTACAAAGTGAATGGTTACTGGTTGGTTTATTTCATTTAGGATCCTGAGGAATTGTTTTTTGAGTTGAAGGACTGAGAAAAATGTGAAATGATGCAAAAAGCTTTTGATCCATGTTTGGAAAGTGCTGGACTGTTACAGTTAAGAGGTTTCTGATGACTGGTGTCCTGTCCTGTATCAGAAAATGTTTTATCAGTTGTGCGGAATGAAACAATCAGGATCAGTGATTGTTACATTCGGCAGCTTGGTAATTTTTCATTAATGTATGATAACATGCACTTCCTGTTATGGAACAGACGTGAAGAACAAATAAAAAGTAATGGACATTTCATTGTTTCTTTGTTTGGTTTGCACTGAATTACACAAGGCTAAAATAAAATGCCTAATGTTTTCCGAATGTTCCACTCAGCCCTGCACCATTTGAAAGATACTTCAGAGGTTTGACTTCACACAGCTGAGCAGTGAATGACTAAGGCTCATTTCCTCATCAGGTTTCCAAAAATCAGCAATCCTCCCTACTACTGCATTCAAAATGAACAAACTGATGAATTTCCCAAAAGATAGAATTAGAGAACAGAAAGTGAATTTCACATGACCATTATCTTAAAGTCCATCATATTACATGATAGATTGTGTTTTACATGCAGAAGGAATTTGAAAGGAAACAGAAAGAGTAAAAAAAGGTTGTGAAATATGAAGGAAAGTTCGATATGACTCCTGACTCAAGTGAACTGATCAAACACAAGCAGCTCTGCAAGTCTGGACATCAGCATTAGAATGATCATGTTTTTGTGTTAGAATTGTTTGTTAATTATCAGTCAACACAAAGTGTAGCCAGGCCTGATGGGAATAGTTTTGTTTCCCTACAATCAGCTAGTGTTGCTAAAAATGAAATTATTCACAGTCCAAACATCCTATGAAGCTTTAAGAGGCCCAAGAGGAGGGTTAGTGTATCACAGGGCCAACAAACCACCATTCACACTCTGAACATTTAGAGTTGACAATAAACCTAACCCCCAATCTGCTTGTCTTTGGACCGTGGGAGAAAACCTACAAAGACAAGAGAACATGCCATCTCCACCCAGAAAGACCATCGCCAAGCCAGGATTCAAACATTCTTGCTGTGAGGCATCAGTGCCAACCGCTGCATCCCCTAAAATCTGTCACTAGAAGCTGTTTATCCTTCATTATTCCACTTGCATAAGTGAAAATCTGTGTTAAAATGTCTGAGATTTGTTTACCTCACAGTGCTAAAACTGGCAGTTACAACCATTAGCACTGGAATTTTCGTATATCCTCACCCATTACAGTATATGCCACTATATACCGTATTATGTGCTGTATATAATGTATATTACATTACATATTACAAGAGAGGAGTGCCTGGCAAACTCCACAGATACTCCCTTCTCTCTCTGAGCAGTACACAAGGTCAGGTTAAAGATAAACAGTGCATTCTAGTGTCTACGCTTAGGGACTTTCATATCTAACTCAGATGCCCCAGACAGAGAGGCACCAACTTCAACTCTTTTGCGCATTACACCAGTATCCAATAGGATGCAAACACCTACATGTAACATAGAGAGTGACAGCAATTCTAGCCATTCATTGATGTGCTGTTAGAATGGGTGACACAGTAGAGGAAGATATATGGGGATGCTGTAGGAGACATCTTCAGACTTGGGGGTGACAGTTGCTCATGTTACTCTGTCAGTGTTTGTATATTGTTCAAGTCTACATTAAACTCTTCTGCATAAGACATCAGCTGCTGCCTGAGTTCTCCTTTCACCAGCTTCCAGAAAACTTCCACAACAAGAGTCATTCAGAAAGTCAACTGTGTGACACTGCACACAGACGCTGAGGGAAAAGCACACACTGATAAACCCCTTATATCCAGGCCTGAATATAACAGTAAAAAGCTCTGTTCATCTTGATTTACAAATAACTGTTTCATGTCATTTTGAAATGCAGTAATTCACAGGACCATTACATTTATTATTCCACAGCACAGTTCAGCAGGTATTTGTTGCATCTGATCTGCCAGAACGAACAGGATCAATGTGTTAGTTTTACCTGTGAAGTCAAAGTCACTGGGGGTGAGTGTTGGCAGAGCTCCTGCACACATCTCAAGTGTTACTGAGCAACACTGGACGTTTTGTTTACAATGGCTGGAACAACTCGGGGCCTGGAGGCCAGTCCAGGGGCATGACTCTTGAAAAGGCTTTAAAAAAATCAATCTTTAAACACATCAAACCGCTCCTCCAAATCCTAATTAATCCTATATTACTTGAATTGTCAGCTTTGACATGATTTACTAGAGCTTTATGGTTTAGAAAGAACTGACTCAGAACCTCAAGCTAAAACCTGCGTCCCGGCTCCCTCAGTGAGCTGCGCTGCCTTACGGCTCAAAGCTTCACTGTGTGAGTAGGAAAACGAGAGAGAGGCCGTCATGCTCAGTGAACCTAAACCAATGATTTCAAAAAGTGCACAGCAACCTTGTGACTAGGTTAATTAGGTGGTGTTTTAATACATCATATAACTAATGCTGAATAGAAAAACAATAACTCCAATTATCTTACTGGAATTACAACTGTGATGAAGAGGAAAACTAGTTTAACAACAGACACGTCATCCCAGCCTCAAAGCCTGTACTTATCAAAACCTGTCAGCCCTTTTATACAAAGGTGCTTCATAGATAAAAAGGATAAACATGTGCACGTGCAGTTGAAAGGACTCAGACTGGTGAATTTTTGCCAACATATGGATGGTCAGTCACTTTGTGCTTGGATTGAAAGCGGTGGTCAACAAAGACATAAACACAAATCCACAAACTCTAACAAATAGAAAATGAACATGAATTTTATTTTAACAGTCACACCTTGCTTCCATTGGATTTAGTTTCCCTGAGAATTAAGTCATTTTGTTTTAAATCACTAGATGGCAGCAAACGATTTTCTTTTTATATTTGCTTGCAATAATAATAAATGCAATAAGCTATTAAAAAGCATGACAATGACAGGTCTCAGACACAGCACATGACTTTCAACTTCAAATTGATCATATATACAATATTCAAACATTAATATAGAAGAACAAAAACTATTTTGTAGGAAAAGATTAATTCTTCTGCAGAGACTCAAGTCACACTCTCTCTGAGTGTGTGTGTGTTGTGTTTTTAATATGCACATTGTTACACGTGAATCACTTCCTGTGAAACTATTGGTCCGTCACACATTTACAAAGTGCGCATGCTCCATCAACCATCAAAGCACAAACACACTGTAAACACATCTGTCACCTGCCCAGCACGAGATTATAACTGCAGCTTCACCTTGTTTTTACAGGCTACACAGTCTATGAGCACACACAGCACAGCATGGCTATCATTAACTAACCATGCACACCCACTGAGCGTAGACTGCTCTTAGAAACACACGTTTGCAGACCAGCACACAGATCCTCACTGACAGGAGAAGCACTAACCCTTGGATGAAACCCGATGGATCTTTTGTTATTAGCGCTCATTATACACGGTAAAACCTTATTGTGTCTGTGGTATAAATATAAAATGTGGTGCCTCTAGAGCGACATCTAGTGGCACCACATTTTATATATGACCTTTAATGTAGATCTGTGTGTAGCACACAAGAATATCAGTACATAAAGTATGTAAGAATGGAAACATTAACAGCTACTTCCGCGCCAACATCTGGCACAGAATCACAAAAAAATGTCTTAAACCGACAGAGTGGATCTGCTCGTGAGGTGTCTGTCACCATCCTCCACCTCTACTCACTCTTCTTTTTTAGCTGCGGTGCTGCTCCTGTAGCAGAGGACTTGGGCCAGGAGGACGCAGCTGAGGCCTGCCAACAGTGTGTAGGACAAAGTAGCCAGTGAATATCCGGTCTCCTGTGCACACAAGTTTTTTTTCAGTTAGTTAAGGCAACCACAGCTGAGCAGAATAATGCAAAATGTGCAGTTGTGTTTGTGTGTAATTCCTGTAAGCATACCTGGAGAGAAAAAAAGAAAACACACAGAGACCCTGCCCACGTCATTAACACAGACAGAGTGGACAGTTGGCCTGTGTGGCCATTGCAGTAGTTGGTTCCAGCCTGGAGAACCTGTAAACCATAAACAATAATAATCAATAATGATAATGAATTCACTCTACTTTGATACATTTGCACATTTAGTTTACAGTTCAAGTTCGTGGGTCTTATCACCTCTGCTACGAAAGTTGTGTTTTCACCCCTGTTTTGTTTGGTTGTAAACAAGATTAAGCATTGTTCAGGAAACTGCTATCTATATGAGTGTGCAATTTGGTGCAGCTTGATTGAATTTAAGGGGGATATTATACTGTAGCACTTTGTATTTACTTGATTCTTGTTGTTCTGGGTTTGTACCCTCACAGTTGAATGTACTTACTGTAAGTCGTTTTGGATAAAAGCATCACCTAAATGTAATGTAATGTAATATTGGGCCTTGGCGGAGGTATGTTAATCATAAAACAGCTCAGCAATTGAGCTGGACAGACAAGATGTTACCTTGCTTGTAATTAACGATGTCAAACTGGAGGACTGCATCCCTGAGACGACTGCTATGGGAGCATAGGAGCCCAGGAGGAACATCAGACCATTGTACGCCAAGAGGAACAGCACTCCTGCAATATAAACAAAAACAGATATAAGATGTACAAGATGGCAGGAAAAAAAGAAAATTAAATAATAAATGTATACACTGATGAATGCTTAAAAACAGCAGATATATAAATAACCATCTAAATTAAAACAGCTCTGTTTTGAGTTGCACTGTAACAAACACCACAAGGTGGTGCTCCATAAAAACACTTTGTGAGTGTCACCTGAAACTCATTTCCCATTTAGCTGAATAACATTGGATTATTTGAGTGGAATGTTACCAACCACATCCAGGCTTTTCCTTTTTCCAGTTACTCAGATAAAATGTAGGAAAATACAGAAAATTCTGGGCTATTGCTCTGTTACTTACAGGTCATTAATTACACTCAGATCTTCAATGAGTAAAATTATCTATAATGTTTGGTCAAGGTCATTTATTGCTTCCTTTGTGAAATGTATTTCCATGCTGCCTAAATGTAAATACAGTAGTGACATGCACTACATGGTGCACATGACATGCACCAGAGGATCAATACAATAACAATGAATCCTGATTTGAGTATCACATTACATGTATTGACACGTATTTACACCATGCTGCTGTAAATATAATATCTGAGTGATGTTTGCTTAAAAACTATTGTGCCAAGTTGATTTAGGGAAATGACTTAGCCTCCGTGAAATTAAAAGTTTGTTAGCCGTTACCTTTTCAGAAGGAATGAAAATAATAGTAATAATGAAGTTTATTTATATAGCAGCCTTCAAAACACAGTTACAAGGTTAAGGTTAACCTTGAAGTTGAAAATGAAAAGTTGAAGGCAAACAATGAGAAACAGTTTTAAAAGAGCACAGACACAGAAATAAAAAATACAACAGATGAGAAAAGAGTAAAAACAAGATAAAACATTTTAGAATGATTAAAATACACAATAAGAAAAGAACTAGGGGAAAGGACACCTATAAAATGTGTCTCTGAGAGAGGTTTTAAAAAATGGCCATCGCCTGAGAGCCAGTTTAGTTTAAAGATGAATGCATTGTTGGTTTTAGTCTTTTCTGTATGATTTCTTGGCGATAAACATATATACTGCACACAGAATGACACCAGACGTATCCTGAAACTATTATTTGAAGTGTGCCTTAGTAAACTGTGTGCAGCCGTGTGTGCTGACCTTTTAGCGTATCACCTCGATAACGCAGGATGAGGAAGGCAATCACAGCGATCTGGGCCAGCGTGAAGATCCTCTCAGACCATGCACTGTGGAGGAGTTCCAAGTAAAACTCACGTCAGTGCACATGAAATGAAAAGAGACACGCACCATCTCTACTGAGACTATAATCTCTGCAGTGCACAGATGTAATGGAGCCATAGTCTTTGAACTAGTGATAAAGAATGTAGGATTAGTCTTTCATAGAAAGCGAGTCACACAAAAATTGGTGAAACTGTGATTTAAAAAACATGTCATCAAAATGTGTTTTGTTTCTAACATCACAGAAATGCACAATGAGAGAATAGACAGAAGTGAATCAGCTCCTGTGCTAAGGAATAAACCCCCTGTCAATACATGTGAGGTAAATAACTCCTGGCGCCAGATGCTTAAAGGATTTAGTCTAGAGAAAAGTCATCAACCCAGGATTACATAATTCATTTTTACTTTTATCCTGGTTGTTCAACACAGCTTTGGATTGGGTCACTCTGATCAGGGGACTGATATTTTCGATTCTGTTCAATTTGTTCGAGATCCACATAAAAATGTCTCTCTGAGGATACCACATTCTTTCTCCCTGCTAAATTATTTTTCTTGGTAGTTTTTTCTTACTCTTAATGAGAGTTAAGGACAGAGGATGTTGCACCTTATTCAGCCTATGAGACAAATTGTGATTTGTGAATACAGGCGATACAGGTCAGATTTGATCTGGGCCTTCAAGGAGGTATACGAGTGCCATTCTAGTTTCTGAACTGACAACACTTTGTTCACTCCAACTGTCTGTATCTACAGTTTCAACACATCAAATCCATAAGAACAGGGGGGTTTGCAACACGGCATTATGTGACACTTAATGATTCATTGTCTGAATCCAGTGGATCAGATTAAGGACCATCATCTCATCTTGTTAACACCTATGGCTTGAAGAGGGCAACAACCTAACCTGCTAACCTGGTTTGATCAAAGTGTACCTGCAGTAACAAAACAATGCATGACATGGTGATGAACTGATTTAACATCAAATACTTACAAGACAGGGTAGTTGTTGGCCACGGCGTACACAACAGGACATGAGAGAGAATAAAGCTGCAGCAGGACGGAGGGAAGACTAAGACCGTCTGCACTTCCTCTCCACAGTATCTTCAGCAGCTGAGGCAACGGTGCTGCAGGGAGACAACAGACAAGGAGGTGAGGAGAGGGGAGAGTGACAGAGGTGAGGAGGGAGGAGAGATAAGGCGGTGAGGAGGATGGACAAGTATGTAGAGACAGAGGAGGACAGACATGAGATGAGGACAGAGTAAGACAGTCGAGGAGGTAAGGATGAAGTAAAGACTGACAGACATTGGTGAGGAGGGAGGAGGAGACAAAAGGAGGCGAGGTCTTGTCTGTTGTCAGCAGGATTACGCAGCACTAGAGAACTAATGTTATTGAAACTGAGTGGAGTTTGGACTAAGAAGATCTTTTAAAGCAAATTAAAGTCGTTTTTAAATGTTTCCATTGATTTCTTAACACAATTCAAGGATCTTGACAAAATAAATGACGAGAACATAAATGTTTAGGGGACTGATATTTATGGGTGTGTGCAATTTTGTGCAGAACCAAATAAAAATCTGGATCTAGTGAATTTACATGTTTCACAAGGAAGGGACCATTGGGTCTTGAGGAGATATGTGCTCTACTGTAGAGTGTCATCCTAGTGTTGTGGTCATCTTCACTACAGCATCAGAGCAGCTTTCGGTGGAAGCTTTACGGTGGTCCTGAAGCACAAATCACCGATTGGACAGCCTTGTGGTTGGGTTTCATAATACGTTGTGTTTTGCATTTCGTTATCGTGTTTTTTGTGCTTTGCTGCCACATTTTCTTATTTGTCAGCATGTTTTGCACTTCAGGGCCACCATAGAGTTTCAGGTTCAGGCTCATTTATCTGTACCCGCAGGTAGATTTGTTGTGCAGTAACAATACAAGGGCATCCGCAATCACAAATAGACAATAAAATAGTGTTAGGGGGACAGACGCACCTGAGACATGACAGACAAGGAGTACTTCAAGGGCTGAACTATAATCAGAATTTGATCACAGTGTTAGGAAGATCCAATCAATGTAGTTTTAACTGATCATTATATTGTAAAGAGGCTTAACTGAAATGATGAGTGATTAAGTTGGGGGATGTAGTGAGAGTGAGAGTGTGATTGGTAAATTGACTGATATTGTCCTGCTGTTGCTGCCACGTGTTTGAATCAGCTGATCCAGAAGTCTTACCCAGGAGAGAGTCCAGTAACATCCAGAATCCTGCAGCTTTTTTCAGCACATGCAGAAAACACGACACTGTGACAGACACAAGATTTAAAAAAAAACACAGTCAGACACGTGAAAACCCACGCGTGTGCAAGCAGCGTGACTGTTTGGTAACATCGACACGAACTTCAGCGAACATGATGCACAGAAAGACAAACTCGAAAAGTTGCAACAGAAGTTTGAAATGACGCGTGTAAAGAAGTGGCAGAGAAGCAAATACCCCCCCCGGCCTGTGTGACTGTGTTGCGAAGATTTGTCGCCATGTTTCACATCTCTCACTCCAAACTGTTTCTCACCAATTAAATGGAAGTTGACGAAAATCTCCTCGTAGCATCTCTGTGGCATTACAAATGTCACCAGGAATTCTCTGAGGAGAGACATCGTGGATCAGCTGCAGCCAGAAGAGTGTTCCTGTGTGGAGAGGAGAGCAGAGGAGGGGAGAGGAGGTGCTCTTTAGTTGCCCAATGTTTGCAGACCAGAGAGGACACGCAGGCAGTGGACATGGACAGTCACATCTAGGAGGGTCTCTGAGGGGTCTGTGGTCCACAAGTCCACAGGTTCTAAAGTCACACTGCTCATTGTTTGTTGGAGAATTCATTCAAATACTACACTTGTGCATGTGGGAGGAGATCACGATCTAAACATCTCCTGCAGGAACACTTTTTATTAATGTATTTGTCAAATATTTTACCTTGTAATAAATAATTGTAACTTTATGTTGATGCTAAAGTTATGTGATGATCATGTCTATTGATTCATGTATTGTTCATGGAACGTGTGAAAGTGTATTGTTTTGTAAAATTGCTTTAGGATTACACTCAAATGAACAAAATAAACTAAACTTAACTTAAACTATGCTGAACTTACCGAAAAGTAAACGAATCTAAAAGTAAACAGAGCTGAATTTAACAAAGTAAACCTAACGGTAGAGCCCATACCTGCTTCAAGGCCTAAAAGTGAAACACCTATGAAACCACATTTAAATTCACTAGATCTTGATTTTTATTTGGATTTGCACCAAATTTCACACACTCACAAATATCAGTCCGGTAAACAGGTTTGATTTTTTTCATCAAGATCCAAGAATTATTCCCTAAATAAATTCCTGGATCCTCACCAAAATGTCACAGGTTCTTACCTGAGCCATTCCAAATCATTTCACATGGGTTTCATTGTAATTGATCCAGTAGTTTTTTGTGTAATCATGCATATAATCAAACAAACAAAGCAACAAACAGATGGGTGAAAGCATAACCTCCTCGGCTACATTCATTCCATCAACCTCTCAATGAAATATACAGACGACTCTCTGTAGTCACTGTATGAGTATGCAAATATTCATTACCACAAGAGGTTTCCTACTTCACTCAGCAGTCCACTCTGTATTGGAAGTTTCCACATTGAACTTGGTCCTTTGCATCAAGTTGCACACTGGATCATGACTTTCAAAATCCTGCATGTGGGGATTCACATGCTAAACAGATTTCAAGTGAGCACAGAGACTTTCAGCTGATGAATAAATGATGATGCATCAAGTGACAAATGCAACAAATTCAAAATGCAGCAAACAATCAAGCAAAACACCAACAGTCTGCAGTGGAAGAGGGTTTGAAGTCGACAATTTCCATACAATACATATGTAAATATATGAAAATGAACCTGAGCCTTGACTCTTAAACTTGTTTTGCATGAATATATTTTATTGTGTTTTATTTCCTAGTTAGTGAAGTCACTGATTTAGTTCCAGTGTGATACATCAAATAATTGAAGGTTTGATTAAATATACACATATATATATATATATATATGAAGAGAGAGAGAGAGAGGTAAAGCGTACAATAACTTCACATCAACAACTAGAACTACAACTATTTGAGCACACAGTCCCCGTAACCACATTAAATTGAACACGTTCATAGATATCAGTTCTCTAGCCAAATTATTTTCATCAAGATCCAATGGATTCTTACCTGGCCCATTTTCCATTCTTCCACCAAATTTTCTGGTAAACTGGTCTGTAGTTTTTGCATAATCCTGCCATCAAAGAAACAGAGGTGACAACATAACCTCCTTGGCAGAGGTAATTAGAATGCTCTGAAACTTTACAACAACTACCATCACTTTACCATGAATCTACAAAATACTTCAAGTAGCAACTCTTCTGTTGGACAAAACGGTTTCCATGTTTTCATGAGTTTAATGCCCTGGTTTGTGAAGACAATGAACTTAAGTCCAATGTGACTGAAGACCTTGTTTTTGTGATAAAATTCCTCCCTTATTAATCACCTAGTTACAGTTACCACGGTGTTTCATAATTATTCAAATGCACTTGTCTTTTTGTTCAAGTTCTCTTTTCTCAAAAAAAAAAACAGGAAGGATGTGAGTGAAAAAGCATCTTAACCTGCAGCAGTTAGTTCATTTTCTCTCAGACAAGATGTGTAGCGGAAAATGTGCCCGTTGCATCGCTGGTACTCTGTACCCGTTAGTGCTCCTGTCCATCATCTGTAACATCGTGCTCTTCTTTCCCGGCTGGGACGTCAAGTACGTCAAAGATGGACACATCACAGAGGAAGTGAAGTACCTGGGGGGAATCATTGGAGGGGGTTTGTTGGTGAGTGGTCTTCTCTCCTGTCTGGGTGTGACTCTGGAGTAAAAGCTATAGAACTTGATTCTGAAACGTCGTGTGCAGCCTCAGGTTAAACTGCATTGTTCTTTTATCGTTTTGCTGTGATTACCAGTCCTGAAGTTATGCTTCAGTGATGATTGATTGATTCCCAGAGAGTAATTCATGTAAGGCCATTCTAGCTCAGCAGAGTTATCACATACCACACATTTTAATACATGATAATCTAATGAGGCACATTTCATTCCAATGAATTCTTCGTAACATATCTGATGCACAAAGTCCATAAAACCTGACTGTCTTCACAAACAGAATTATTAAAGTATGTTGAACATATTTTTTGTCCCTGCATCTAATTTCCTGTCATTCCAGGTGTTGATCTCAGCTCTGTACATCCACATGAGTGGAGAAGAAGGGTGCTGTGGAAATCGCTTTGGGGTGAGTCAGTCAGAGGGAGAGGGTAAAGGGGGCAAGTAAGTAACTGGAGTTAACCTTATGCTGCCAAACTATGTCACGAATGAACTGTCACATATGTATTGGACACCAGTCAAATGGAAAACTCAGTAGTTAAAATAAAGAAAGAAAAAAGGAAACTTGCTGCGTAGTGCTGTGTCACCACTGCACAGTGTTAATGTCATGATCCATAAGATAATGCACAACCACAGCACAGTGCATTTCTCCTTTTTTCACGAAGCACTTTTCTTTATAAACACCAATGTATCAGAACTCTTAACTGTCACTGGTTTCAAACGCTGCATAAAAATTTACCTGAGAATATTTTTAATGACCAAAAGTTTTAAAGAGGTATTTCCACTTTTTAGTCATAAAGCAAAATTGTCCCATAGAGTTTAGCCAGTAAATATGGAATATTCACAAGGTCTAACTAAAAACAAATCATAGACAAAAACTGAAATACAGTAGT